TTTTTTTTTTTTTGTATTTTTAGTAGAGACGGGGTTTCACCGTATTAGCCAGGATGGTCTCGATATCCTGACCTCGTGATCCTCCCACCTCGGCCTCCCAAAGTGCTGGGATTACAGGCATAAGCCACCGCGCCCGTCCTCAGTCTTTTTTCTAATATATATATTTTGAATGTTGCTGGCATATCTCATGTATTTTTTAATGCCATAATTTTTTCACTTAATCACTTACAATTAGTTCTGTACCGTTTTATCTCGTTGAGGAATTTATGCTGTTTATGATATTTCTCTCTTGAATCAATGTTGCATACTCCCTTTGTATATCTAGGCATTTTTGCAGTTATTTTTTTCCTAAAGGAACTTTTCTGGTAACATGATTTTTAGAAGCTACATTGTATACAAAAGAAGGAAAATGAATGCTCCTACCCATTGTACTCCTAGCTTCCCCAGTGATGTCTGTTGTTATATGTTTCTGGATTAGAAAAATTCATAGGCTCATTTTATACTTTTTTGTGGGCTTTTTTCCTCACTTAATTGTATTTCTTGGGAATCCTCCTATATCCATATGTAATCAGCTCATTTATTTTCAGTGCCCTTCCTACTCCAAGGCTTGTCTCCCTTTATTCATCTCCAAACATCAGCCCCACTTCTCTGTTTCTTTCCAACTGGTCTCTCGTATGCTTTCCTCACCCTAATGTTTCTGTCTTTTCCTCAGTGTTTCTCCAGGATTTATTATCTTTATTTTTTCTAGGTAACTTTGATGTCATTCTGGTCTTCTGTATGTTCTTTCTCAGAATTTCCTTTATGATCAAAACTTACCCGGCCGGGCGCGGTGGCTCACGCCTGTAATCCCAGCACTTTGGGAGGCTGAGGCGGGCGGATCACGAGGTCAGGAGATCAAGACCATCCTGGCTAACACAGTGAAACCCCGTCTCTACTGAAAATACAAAAAATTAGCCGGGCGTGGTGGTGGGCGCCTGTAGTCCCAGCTACTTGGGAGGCTGAGATAGGAGAATGGCGTGAACTTGGGGGGCGGAGCTTGCAGTGAGCCAAGATCCGCCACTGCACTCCAGCCTGGGCGACAGAGCTAGACTCCGTCTCAAAAAAAAACAAAAACAAAAACAAAAACTTACCCAGCGTGTTTTTCTGAAATGTTAATCCTATTTAAAAGGAATATATTGTGGCTTTCTCCCTTCTCTGTCATCCTTGTTTAATTTCCATTTTCTCATTTATTTTGCTGTTGCAGTAGTAACAAGAATGATGCCCACTGCTGTTGTAATTTTTCAAACTAAAGTATGTGACATATTCATTGCTTTAGTTTCTTTCTTAACATACATACAGCCTCCAATGGTATCTGTGACTACAATTAACTGGTTAACTAGATTCAGGTATATCTCCTAGAAGCAATATATTTTGGCAGTTTTAGATAACTGGCTATTTTGTCCCATTGTCTGAAGTGTTGCCATGTTCTCCCTGCCATTTTTCAATATTTGAAAATTGCTGTTATCAACTTTAAGTGTAATAATTTTCTTTTCTCTTGGTAATGGTGGACTAAAAGACAAGATTTCTTGCATTTCAGTGTATCCTGTAGCATTGAGAAGCAAGTTCTAGCCCGGTGACCAGGAAAATAAAACAGAGAATCAACCTTTGGTTTGGACACATTATGGTTTATTGACCCTTCTAATTAGATTTATTGTTATTGCAGTGGACTCCTACATAATTTCCTGATGTTCATCTTTTGTGTTCCTTCCAGTACTGTCCACTCTAACATACTTTCATGTGGGAGCTTGATATAAGACAGTTACATCCCAAAGGAGCCCATTCCCTATGTCTTTCCAGGTTGAGAGACTTCTACATTTATTTTTTATGTGTGCCTAACATGCCCCTCTCTAAGTGACTTAAGAACTATTTAGTTTTCCTTACTTAAAAGCAGTTTGAAGTGTAGTTCTGTATTTCTGACTTTTTGCTTAGGATTGTATCTCACCCCCCAACTTCTTGGTCGGCTCAGTTCTCAGGCTGCTAAGAAGCACTTATGTGATAGGCACTGTGCTAAATACTCTACAGGGATGATCTCATTTAATACAGACACAACCTTTAGAGGCTGTTTTTGTTATCAGAGGATAAAATAGAAATGAATAACTTGTCCAAAACCATACAGCTAGCAAATGATCTGTTCTGGTATTCTGACCTCACACTGTATGCTCTTAATTATTACAAAATACTACACCTATAATAACTACCATTTATGGAGTGTTTGCCATGGATTAGGCACTTCACGTGCTGCTTTTAGGTTCATTATCTTATTTAATTCTTCCAACAACTGAAAGGAAAAACTGGCTCAAACAGGTGAGGTAAGTGACTTGTTCACTGATTCCTTAGGTTTCATATCTGTAAAGAGATGAATAGTGTCAAGTGTTTTTTACCTTGACACAGAACAGAATAAATTGTAAGATTTGTCCCAGCATGCAAATACACCAGAAACCAAATTTCATGAAACACTTACCCTTAATGTACTCCAGTACTTTCTCTTCTATATAATTACAAAATAAATGCCAGTCATGAACCACTAAATTGGTTTTATCACTTCCTACTGGGTTGTAACCTGTAGTTTCAACCATTCTTTTGGAGGCTAAAGGTGACTAAGGTTTGTCCAGCTTCAGCATTCTGTTGTGTATAATCAGGCCAATCAGAATCCTAGGTATAATCTAACCTTTTGGCTTATGCATAAATTTTTGTAATATTACTAGCAAATGGATATCTAGTACCTGTTTTAAACATCTCTAGTTTTCAATATTTAGCATGGCATAGTCCATCTGGAAAATACGGATTGAGATATGTATATATTCATGTTGTAAGTAGAAAATGTGTTATTTGAGACATGGGTGATCTATCTGTGTATATATAAACATCTTGGTGCTAAAGGTCTTTTTACAAAATTTGCCAATTGGCTGCAGGCAAGACTTGCCAAAGATGAGGGATTAGTGAATTTAGTGAATTTAGAGGGAGGCAGATGTCTAAGTAAAACAAATAAAACACTTAAATTGGAGGTATAAATTAAGTTTTTTGAATTTTGATATATCTGAAAATTCTTCAGAGGTGAATTTGTAACGCATGTCTAATGTTTTAAATATTAATTTTCTTTAGTCTATAACTCCCTCAGTTGTTGGATCTACTAGACATTCAGTATGTGCCACCTTTGAAAATAATACTCTGTGGTCAATAAAAAATAAATAACAAGTATTTAAAAACTTGCTGTGTTTAGTGAAATTAAATTTTAATCAAAACAAGTTTTTATATTTGATCATATGGATGGATTATCCTTGAGAAATTGGAAGCAAATTCCTTTTTAATACAGTAGAAATTCTACTATTCAATTTATGTAGATTTTTATAGCATTAGGCTGTGATTTAATTTAAAAATAATTTGACATGCTTGTTAAAATACTCATGATTTGTAAATATATTAAATGTATATTTTAACTATAAAATACAATTTAAAAAATGCTGTATGAGCCTAATATTAAACTATTTGCTTATAAACCTGCCTTTTTTGTTATTTCCCTTTAGGTTGGATGGAGTACTGCTCGTGATTATTACACGTTTTTATGGTCCCCTATGCCTGAACATTATGTGGAAGGATCAACAGTCAATTGTGTACTAGCATTCCAAGGTAAGGACTGAAAACTGCAGAACTCGATGAAACTGGATGTCTTATTGCCGTTAGAGATGTTGTACTCCATTGTAATGATTTGTTCAGGTATGTCCAGGGTACCAAAGTTGAATTAATTTGTGTCTTTACTTAGCAAAAGCCCTAAGAATGTAACTGTCTAGTGTAGGCCACATGATGTTTTATGTAGACATTTAAAAGTTATTGGTTGTTGTCTTAACTTTCACTGAAGAGTGGGTTTCTTTTTAGGTATTGATTTTTGGGGATTTTTTTTTCAAGTGAGAAAACAATACAATAGTGATAACAGATATTAGAATAATGTAACAAAAAAGAGGTGAGGAAATAGTCCAGATGAAAACCACAAAAATGATTAACAGAACTTGTAGTTATTTGAATTCTGTCATGTGTAAGTTCCTTTATTATAAAATGGATATAAAGTAATATAAAATTCATTTTTGTGTTAGCTTGGCATTATTTACAAAATTTTAAAAATACTCTTATTCAGGTAATTCTGACATGCTACAATATGGATGAACACTGAGGATGTTATAAGTCAAATAAACCAATCACAAAAAGAAAAATACTGTATAATTCCACTATATGAGGTACTTAGAGTAGGGATAGACACAGAAAGTAGAATGGTGGTCCGCAAGGCGTGCAGGTTCCCTCAAGGGAGGAATGGGGAGTTATTGTTTAATGGGGGTAGAGAGTTTCAGTTTTGAAAGATGAATTTTGGAGATAATGTTAGTTGCACAACAATATGAATGTGTTTAACATTGAACTATACACTTTAAAATGCTTGAGATAGTAAATTTTATGTGTTTTTTTTTACCACAACTTAAAAACTTGAAAAAAAAAAAACAACACTTATTCAGAGATCTATCAAAGAATTTGCTGCAGAGTAATTTTGTATTATAATTTTACTGACTTTAGGGTTGTATTAAAGTGAATTCTTACTCTTGTGTATGTCATAGATTTCTTTTGGTCTGGTGAAGTTTGTGGACTCTGTCTCAGAATAATATTTTAATGAATATAAAGTAAGACAAAATTGCAAAGAAAACCAATTATATTGAAATAATTATAATATCACAATAACAGATTTTTGATATATTAATACATGTGCTTCAAAATCTGTGTAACAAGATGTATTTTATTGGCAGATTTAATCGCTGCCATGATTTCCAAGTAAGATAACATTGAGATACCTGTAACAATTGTAATGTGGTAGTAACATATAAGTAATTCCTGTTGGTGACAAAAATCACAAATACTGATAATCAAAGTACATACTGAAATTTTAGTTAAATGTTGGTAAAAATAAAAATATAATGTTTTTACCATTAAAGTTGATGGATGACCTGAATTTTCTTTATCCTTTGACCCCAGGTTGAACATTCTCTAAAACTGCCTCTTTGCTATTGAGAACTTTATTTGTCTTTGTGTTTAAAAAAAAATTTTAGGACTTTATTGCTCTTCCCTGGGACTGGCTATTAATAATTAAGACTTTTTTCCTCTGGGTTTCTCATATCTTTAAGCAATGGGCTCTATTAAGAATGTTCTTTTGTTAGCAGAAAGAAGTTTACATTTTATGAATCATTACTTTAAAAAAAATGTGCTCGGGATTATGAGATGAATGATTTAAAATAAAGTTTATTGTCTCACACATTTTCACATATTTTAATGCAATTTAAAAATCGTGTAAATCTTTTTTGTTTGAGCCGGAGTCACACTGTGTCACCCAGGCTGGAGTGCAATGGTGTAATCTCAGCTCACTGCAATCTCCGCCTGCTGAGTTCAAGCGATTGTTGTGGCTCAGCCTCCTGAGTAGCTGGAACTACAGGTGCTCACCACCACGCTTGGCTAATTTTTGTATTTTTAATGGAGATGGGGTTTTGCCATATTGGCCAGGCTGGTCTCAAACTCCTGACGTCAGGTGATCCACCTGCCTCGGCCTCCCAAAATGCTGGGTTTACAGGTGTGAGC